AGCACCTTTTTATTTGAAATTGCATTTCAAAGTTAGCATTACTTTTAAAATTCTAATTTATTTATATTTGCATAGTTTTCATTAATGACCGTTTCTCTAACTGAATTAATGTTTTTCCCTTATTTTAGAATAATAATAATAATAATAAAACTCATCTCTTAAAGGAATAATTAAGTATATATATATTAACATAACTTATTCATGTCCTTAAAACTCTTTCATATTTATTTAAAATTAAAAGTGTCTCTTTTTCTTTATAACAGTTTTTCACCAGTCTTCTTATTGAAGATTTTGTTAAGATTGGGGCTAACTGACAACAGAACACATGACATGGGAATGGGCCAAGAGTCATTTTTCCACATTCACGGATAGAAGCTCACTTCAGCTGGAAAACTAAAGAGAGGCTGCTTTTCAGAAGCACTTGTGTTTTTTTTTGGTTTTTTTTTTTGTTTTTCACTTTTATTTTTCATCTCCAAACTTCATCTTTTCAGGCCAAAGTTCCTGCACCAAGGGCACCAAAGAATTTAATCACCTCAAGACTGCTGCTGCTTGTCCCATGCATAAAACTCATTACAATCGAGTGCCTGGGTATTACTGCATTCCTCAACAATTTTGTTGGAATTTAGACAGATGGTCAGGTGGTGGGATGGGGTTGCTGGTGTCAAACATATCTGCTAAGATGTACTTACTGGCCAGTCCTGAAGGGAACAGAGCTGTTGCATTGACCTTTCTGCAGAGCCGTGTCACCATATTTTCACCTCTAGCACAAATGTTTCTCCAGAAAAGCAGTGAGTATAATTCCTGTTTTGCAGATGACAGAGGTCCATTTTCCACAAAGCAAAGTGGGAAATGCAGAGAAAATACTGAGTCTCAAAACCCCTGATGTACTCCTGATGGTTGTGCTTTCTTCTCTGAGTGCTATATACACCCTGTGACATTTTTGCAGACCTATGCAATGCCTTGCATGGCTTCTTTGTAGCTTCCAAAGGCAATACTTAGTGACTGAGTAATCTGGATTTGTTAATCTAGGGAATACTAAAGTTTCAATTAGCTAGAAAGAGACTAAAAACAGCCTAGATTATAGTCAGAAAACATCGATCCAATGTTGTAATTTCCACAATATTAGTGTCAGACAGCCTGCCAAAGCAATGGTCTCTGTGAACTTGCCGCAACACTCACAGCATATCACTACAATTTCCTTCCTTCCTTCCTCCCTCCCTTCCTTTTCCTTCCTCCCTCCCTCCCCTGCTCTATGTTCTGCTGATCTTCTGCACCTGACATAAGGAATCAGGAGAGAAGGAATCAAGAGAGAGATGGCAGTGCTGTCTGGATCCCTGGGTCGCCAACCACCAGGGACATAGCCCTGAAGAAACTTCTTGGAGGATATCTTCTTTAATGGCAGCTCAGAGCTCACATTAGTCTGTGCCGTGGGGCTTGCTATTCCTGACTCCTTCCTTCTCCATGATTCAACGTGATGCTCAATGTTACTCAAGAGGTTGTTTTATTCAAGCCAATTTTCAAGACTCTGAAAAGAGTCTTGAGAAACAAAGTCCTGCTAAACACACCCAGAGAAGTAAGGGAAAGATACACTGAGAACCTCCACTTCTGATGCTGGTACTTGTGCAATACTGGAGGTATCAATATTTACTTTTTAAAAGTATCAATATTTACCCTTTTTAAACCACTGAGAAGTCTTGGCCTCATTCTGCTTAGGCAAGAACAATTTTATGCATGAGCATCAGGACTTCATACACGTAGGCAGAACCCGCAGGGGTGAAAATTCCCTGGATTCAAGCAGGGCTCTCCCTGAGGATGGTATCATATCTTGTTCTCAGTTCAGAACTTGTTTCTTAAAAGATCAAAAACAGTGACTTAATAAAGCCCAGTAATTTGGTATGCTTAGTCATTTGGGTGAAAGTCGAGGAAAAACTTTAATGCAATATATGATGAAATCAGATGAATAAATGATGAACGGTTTATCTATTGTGACTGTGAAATACCCATTGAAATGTCACTGCGGTGACTGCCTGCTTTTCTTTGTGACAGAAGTAGTTTCTTGCTCAGTTCAAACCGGAGCCTTCCCTAGTATGGTTGCTAAATAATGTTAATGCATGCTAATGTTGTATATAAAAGGATGTGTGTGTATTTAAAATTCCTTTGAACTTGCCTTGACAAATAAAGGGAATAAAGAAAATGCTAGTGCTGTACATAGTGTTTTGTGGAAAACAGAATCCAAGCTGTTCAAAATTCCATGCTCTGGTAGATTAATTTAAAAAATACATATTATTGATCTTTTTAAATTTTGCTGGAACTTGACTATCCTGCTTAAATTGCTTGGATGCTGTACTATTTCAGGATTTTGTTTTTTGAATCATTCCTGATTTGCAGTGACACAGAAATTGAATGAGAACATGGCCTCTAATCACTGCTGCATTTCACATTTTGAGCAGAACCGGTTTCTTGGTGGGAATCATGAAGCGGAAGTCATGGATATAATTTTCTGAAGAGTCACCGTACAAGTCACTGTACAGTTTTCTCACTGGATCCAACCATATCTTTGAAAATCGGTTGATCTTCTCTTTCTGTCTCTTGCAGGACAATTCACCATTCAGCCTCCTCTCTGAAATGATAGGATGTGACTCACTCATCTCATTCAGCTTTCTGAAAGAGATGGGTTAGTCTGAGCCAGTCATCTTTAACGCCGTAGTTCAGAAAGGTGCTACGTAGAGACGGGCACTATCTGAAGAGCACTACTCTGAATGACTTGTAATAGGATGTGTTGAGCCTGTTGATCTTAGTGAGCCTGTTGATTTCCCTCCATTCATTATAGACAAAATATAACTAGAACAAAAACCGATATCTTACACATTATACTTTGAACTGTTATGTGACTGCTGCTATTGAGAGAATTCAAACCCTAATACATCTGATATTTCAGCCCTGTATTGATGCATATGAAACTACAAATGGAACTGTTTCCAAGAGAGACGCTTGGGACATCAATAACACCTTCCCTTCCATGAAAGACATTTGAAAGAGCTATTCCAACCCCAAAGTCCTCCTCTGGGGTAGCATACTAAGCAGCTTTCCATAAGTTTTATAAATCAGGAGGAAGGAAACATGGGTGAAGGTGTGAGGCCAAGACCAAACAGAAATCTAGCAGCAGAACCAAGAGATGAATCCATGAAAACGAACGTCCCACCCAGCCCTTAAATTCCCTGCAAAACATATTCAGATCAGTTCTGTACTTGTTCTTTTTCTCAGCCAAAAGACAGTTATATTCTCTGTATATTTCACTTCCAATTTCTTCGTATTTTATCAGTTTAATGTTTCCTTTTTAAAAATGTATTTTCCTCCAGTTCCATTCTGCTACTTATGGTTGAAAAAAAACATAAGTTAAATGGCCACCAAGCAAACACAGTCACAAATAATGAGATTTACCATGCATTATATTATAATGTGACCAGCTTTAGGAGGAAGGAATGCAGAGTAACACATAGTATTCTCTTTGCCAGCAGGACATTTTCCCCATGTTCCTCAAATGTATCTGAACATATTGCGACTTAAATGAAAAGAAAATCCTCCACATCATAATTGAAATTTCTATTTATTAATAAGTGGTGCAGTTTTTAAAGACAGAACATAAAAAAATCAGTTAAGAAGAATTGTTTGCATAATATATTGAAATAAACATATTAAAGTTGTTCAAATATTGGACAGTGCCAGAATATAAATTACACATACAGTTTAAAAATTACAATAAATAATATTATAAAGAGCACTAAAGGCCACTTGTATAAAAGTTGTGTTCCCTTGTCAGCCAGAATCTGAAAAGCATCTTTGTAGCATGGAGAAAATTTCAGTGAGCAAGGCACAAATACTAGTAATAATAAGATGCCATAATTAGAAAACAAAATGCAGTTGTCTATGCAACCTTCAGGCTTACCATATTCTTGAGGATGGAAATAGGATCCCACTTCCACTGTTTTGCTTTGCTCAGCTTTAGCAAGAGGCTACTAAAAACGTATTTGGGAAAGCCTAAATAATCAGAAGCAATAGCGATATCCAAAGCCTTCATTTCTCAAGGTGCCCAACTAAAGACATTTGAAAATGACCCTTTTTTCTTCCTTGCCCCTGAAAATGGTGCAGAACACCCAAGTTCAGCTGGGCTTCAGAAAAAACAGAACCACTCCAAATTAACGTGGTGCTATGGAAAATTTCAGTATGTGGCTCTTGGGCTTCTAAAGCTTAGCAGAGAGGGTCGTGGTGGGTAGGGAATGAAGATCCAGCTCTTCCTCATGTGCTTGGCACTAAGTGGGGCAAATTCTGCTCTTGCATAAGCAGATGTGACACCCCTGCAACAGTTGAGCTCTCGGTGAGGCTGAATTTGCTCCTTAATCTGCATTTTCTGATTGATTTAGGCTCTGATGCTGTGAACTGATGAGACCACGTTACTCTCCTGAAGGCCACAAGTCAGCGGCCTCTCTATGCACAGGTTCAGGTGGGAACTAGTTTGTGATGTTGCTGGGCCACAATTTGAAGCACAAAGAATTGAAAATATTTCCACTCAGAACCTTAACAATGCAGCAAAGTTACAGATCAGAGCAGAGCAAATAATACACCCAAACTCCATGTAGGGACAGATTCCATCAACCTCTCCACATGCTCAAGTTCAGGAAAAAGCCAAGGCAAGGACAATAGTCATTATCTTTTCTGGTACACACACTCAAATTTGATTTCAGAGTAGATGTAGCAGTGTTAAAATCTCATATAGGGCGTTTTCATTCAATTTTCATATGAGGGTTAGATCTTGAGTTGCCACAGCCACGTATTATAGAAATTATATGTGCAATACAAAGCCCTGCTGCAGGTGCAATGCAGATATTTCCAAGAATCATTGATGACCAGATTTTTTTTTCCAACAGGCCAAATTATAATGAATTACATTTCTGACAGCTATTTTTGTTCTCTTTCCATTTTGACCTGAAGCTGCACCAAACCCAGACCGTCTTTCAGCTATTTTGTCAATTAAGTAATTACTGTCTTTGTACTTCATGTCATCATAGTCTCTGTTTCCGAACAGAACAGCCATATAGACTCAACCCAGTTTTCAAAGGGTGTAATTGACATGCCTTATTGACTCAAGGTACTGAAGCAATTTGTTCTTTCTCAAGATCTGTCACAGAAGAGTGAATCATTACTTTAGGTAAAGCAGCTGAAGTCTTATACTATGAATATCCTAAATTTTTAGATGGGTCTTTAAAATACAAATAAACAAAGAAGATGAAAGTAATGCCTGTGTCTGGAAAGGAATAGAAGCTCCCTGGAAGGAATAACTGCCATGAGATGTCAATGATGATTTAGAATCAACAGAAATAAAGTTTATTTTAGCGGGCAAAACCCCACTAGCCTCCCCGCTAGCAGCTGGATTTCATGGTTGCACCTTGGATGCATGGGTTGGGAATGGGAGCCCTCTCACTGACTGAGCATCTCCAACATGCCTATTTCTAAGAAAGTCACCCTCTGCTCCCTTTCTAGTCAGTAGCAATCTGGTCATTACAGGTAATGGAGTTAAAGGTGTGAATAGTCTCATCACAAAGCAGAAGC